ATCAAGGTCATATGACAACATTCACAGGACTTCCACAAATGACCAAATGCTTTATGACCAGCAGCTTCTTTCCCTTCACAAACAAAGAGGGAGGCACTAAGGAGAGAAATGGATAGAGAAAGATTCAATAAGGTAAAAAGGAATGGTACCCTTTGAACCAAAGAAAAAAATCAAAGAGTATTTCGAACCAAAACAATCATTTGAAGGAGATTGAGAAGGAGAAAACAACAGGCAGTCAAGTGTAAGACTAAACAAAATTTCCTGAAGATACAATCGGATAGCATCAAAATAAAGGGCAGTTTCTAACGCCATACAAGTCTAGCCTATTACACCAATATCACCCCACTGCCGCCTCCTTCCCAAGAAAAAAACGGAAAGACAGAAAGAAAGAAAAGAAAAGGGGACAACCACCAAGGTTAAATACGATAAAACTACAGGATGAGACGAGCAGGACAAAACAATGACTATGTACGGAAAATCTAACAAACCTGAAATGTTTCCTCTATATTCATCAAACACTTGTATAACCGCATAACTTTGACAAGCATTTTTTCTTCGAGAATTGCTCTTGGCCTAAAAGGAAAAGAGCTTACTATAAGAAGCAAATTCAAAACAACTTGTAGTTTCATGTAGAATTGACGAGAACCGAAGTTTGAATAAAGGATAGCATACTTCTTCAAATTTTCTTGGGGATATTATAACAACATCATCAAGTTCAGCATCACCTATCTGCAACTGCAAATTTTCATTACCAAGGGCTGATCCTTGAGCTGCTGCATCCAGGCTCTCCTCAAGAAGAGGAAGGTTGAGGTCCAAGTCAAAAACCACGATTTGCTGATTTTGAAAATCTCTAGCAGCCTCTTGGCCTTCCCGAGGTCCTGAGCTGCTCATATTAAAACTGAGCTCTCGGAAATGCAAATCCTAGCTGCCTTAATCATCCATAAATGTGCATTATCGTAAGCCAAGTGAAGACTTAAGCTGACCCTCAATTTCCTCAATTCACTTCGTTAAAAAATGCTTATAATTTTTTTATTTGCAGAGACATGCCTTATACCTGTACTATGAATGGTTCTATTCATGATTAATCCTTAATGTTTTCTACACTTCAATAACACCCTTTTCGAATTGCAATTTATACTTAATGAATGCAAAAAGATGAAGGAAAACAAACTAAGAACTTCTATGAGCTTCTCAGAGTTAATCATGAAGCGAACGCCATTTCAACTGAATTCCCCAGAGTTAGATGGAATGTATACATATAGTTGATTTTACAAGTTATGTCCTCTTCTGTTCTGAAAGAAAGCAAAGCTTCTTAAGATTTCCCCCCCCCCCCCGGGTAAAAAAAGCTTCTTCAGATTTATTGAGAGCTTATAAAGAGGAGTGGGTGGCGAGAACCTTTTTAAGGTCCGTACAAGAAGCTAAATTTATTTTTTTTTTAGGACGAATGTAAGGCTAAAAATTTCAGTCCGGGGAGAACTAGAAGTTCTTCGAATATTTCACAACCCAGTTAGAAGAATTATGCAAGAAATGTCCGTAACAGGGCAAGGTGTCTTACAGGGAGGCAGAGGCAGATAAAGAGCAAGAGAGAAATCAGAACGTTATAAAAGTCCGTCATCCTTATATCAGTTCAGAGGCATATAAACAAATAAAACCAGGAAGAAAGATCGGTACCTGAGCGGAATGAACGAGCAGCCGAGTCGCGAGAAAGAAGAGGCGAAGAGAAGAGACGGAGCGGCGGCAAGTGCTAGAAGAAGAGTCTTATAGAAGAGTTAGGAAGACGAGGAGAACGGAAAGGAAACGAGAAGGGAGAGATTAATAATAATGGCAAGTTCAAACTTTCCATGTGTGAATGTATTTGAATCGAGAATACCATACAGCCTTTGCCTTGCTTTTCTGCCTTCACGCAATTTTGGAAATACCTTCTTTCTTGCCGTTTCAATGCTCTTTCTCTCTCCATTTTCTTGTTTATTTTTATGGCATGTATCTATCCATCTATCATCTATGATCTATGCTTGCGCTTTGATGTCCGCTCTTGCAGAAGTCAGCCCAGCGCCCCGATGGAAAATTGGCATTTTCTTTTTCCTCTTTATTACATCCATGTCCTAATTGGAGGCACCACGGTGTAAAGTCAACGACGTAATTTCGTTTCAAACAAATTTTGAAGATTCATTTCTGCTTTTTTTTTTTTGGACTCAGATTCATTTCTGCTTTAAGCTGAGATTTGACCAGATAAGGGGTTCTGTCAAACGTCAATACACATAAGCCGACTCTAGGAACGAACTCCAATGCGTTTTCACATGAATGAACCTTAATAAAATTTACGATATACTTTATCATGAGCTTTCGAGGCCAAAACATTATCACGAGTTAACCTGCCTCCTCATGTTTATTACACTCTTTCAATTCTAAATATTAAGATCTCGTTTTATTTTTATTTTGATTCTAAATATAAAATTTCAATTCACTTTATTTTTTATATTTATATATATTTTTTTAAAATAATACTTCCAACTAATATACTTGATTAGTAAAAATATTTTAGAAAAGACAATACTTATTTATTATAAATAACTAACTTAACTTATTTTCTTAATCTCATTAAATTAGTCAACTAGTTCTTATAATTAGAACTAAAGATAGTATAAAATTTATTTTGTAATGTAAATTATAAGTGAAGATGGTTTTTTCTTTAAATTTATTGATATATATAAAAAGGGTAACGTACCTGCCCCCCATTGCATGAGACTGTGTGAAACGTTGACTTCGGCTTTAAGCCCCACCAAATTAAAGTTTAAGGGGGAAAGCATATTGGAGTTCCAAGTAGCGGCTACGCAGGGCTGGAGCTGCAGCACTCAGCAAACAGACAATTATAGAGACTTGGACCTGTCAGGTTACGGGAAATGGTGACAATGAAGGGCTGATCATGGGGAAAAATTAGGAGAAATTAGAGTTCATTTTATATTTGATTAAGTTAAAATAAAATTGAGAAACCAATTGCATTGCACTGAGAGACCGTCGAAAGAAACCATAGATGCGTCACCAAATAGGCTTAGGAAGGAGGAGAAACTATGATAGTTATCACGTGATACTCACAAATTAAAACTCAGCCATGTACAAAATAGTAACCCTGCTAATATAAACCTTGATAATTGTCTGATAATAAAACACTCTTTTCTTAATAAAAAAACATATTAAAAACTCAGTAATTACTAAAGGGGACTTTTTATGCAAAAGTGACTCCCAACACGTGGGCTGATCATTTTTGCTGTCATTGAGAAAGGTGTGGCAAAAAATGTTGCCCTGTGTTGCGATAAAGAGAAGATGCTCAGGACTGGCTATTGACACTAGAATTGAGTTTACTACTGTGTTGGGAGAGGAAAGGAAACACCATACTTCCAACACACAGCTAGACTTCTGCACAAACGAGCCAGACCCTTCGTTCTGTGCGACCATTGAAGATTAGCTAATCTCGATACATGTTTACTTAGAGGCGGGTTTACAAACCACAAGAGAAAAAAAAAATCTATTTCAGATTTTAGGTGATATTCAGTGGAAGGAGCTGACTCCATATTTCTTCCTACATACTACCTCCGGTTCTAATTATAAAAGTTAATTAACTAATTTGAAGAGATTAAAAACAATTAAATTAGTTATTTGTAATAAATAGGTATTGTTTTTCTTAAAATATCTTTACTAATCAAATTTATTGATTAGAACTACCATTATTAGAGGGACTATCTTGAAATAAAATGCATAAATATAAAAGACAATGTGGATTGAGATATTATAATTAGGACAAAAATAAAAGTCAAACAAAATCTTATATTAAGAACCGGATGTAGTACAACTATATGTTTTCAAGTAAATTTTTAATATAACTGAAAAGGACCTCCTTTGCTATTAAATGTGCGAGTTATGTAGTCAATCTATACATATTAAAGCAATCAGTTAAATTGTTACTTATTTCTAAAAATTGTAATTTAATTTTCTTCAAATTCTTCATTTAATTATCTTGCATTGGAAATTATCCAATTAACGAGACATTATCTAATATGCAACATTAATAAGGATAGCTTAAAGAAAAATTACAAATTCAAAAATAAAATGAATTGAGACTTTATATTTAGAGTTAAAGAAAACCTCTCGATCAATTATAGAGTGTTATCATAATTTTACAAAAAAAAGAAGCAATTCATAAAATTGAGAGTTATCAAAATTTGATTTAATCCCAACATGAATGCCAAAAATAACTTAAAATAAATTAAGTGGATGTTTTGTAGATTTAACTCATTCTATAATGATTTGCATTGAGATTTTATAATAATAATTTCATGGTTTGTATAATGATCCATCTAATTTTATTTATGATAAAATTAAAAAATAATATCGCTTTGTTGGTTATCAACATAATTTTTGTCTAATTTTTAAAAATAAATACTCATATCGATCTTTATATAATTTTTTTTATATATAATAGTAGAATTTAATGGTTGCGTCGTTGTTTTGGTTACATTGTATGTTTTGTTTGTTTGTATTGACTTTTTCTTTAAAAATATTTATTTTATGGTAATTATAACTTATCACATTAATGGGTCCTGTTTAAAATGGATAACCATTAGCCAATGTTCAAGTTCAACATTATTTTTGTCTTAAAATAACCCGTGAATCTGAATTCTTTCAATTGGGTTCAAATAAAAACGGAGAATTATAAATGGATCCAATTTTTCGATTTTCACTGGAGATTAGAAATAGATGGACTCTATAATCCTATTTCACTGACGGGATTATGCCCAAAAAATGAGTTTCCTGCAACCAACCCCAATCGAAGGATCCAAATCCAATTCATTTTGTCATTTTGCGCTTTGGCATCAAGGTCCACCCTCCTCCCTCCCATCGTAGCTTAAAAAAAAAAAAATAAATCAAGGCTCGTTTGAATTTTTAAGGGAAGAAAAAGAAGAAAAGCGCCAATTTTCCCTGGCAACTAGCAAGGGCACCCGCTGGTCGAGCTCTCAGAGCAAACTAGAGCGTGCGTCACCTCGGTTTCAAATTTCCCTCTAGTGATCCCTAGCAGTTCGACATCGCAGAGACATTTCGCTACAGCCGAGAGTCCACTGAGTTAAATTATTTGCATTTTCCATAAAAAATTGCAGAACAATCTCAATCCATTCCATCGTCATTGCCACCCATGGAGCTCCCCGCCCTTCGCAGGTCGTTCTCCCTCTTCTGTTTTTTTTTTTGTTTGGTTCCTGCAATTCCTCTTACTTGCTCGCTATTCTTTTTCATACTTTTCTTTCAGTCGATTAAAGGAGCTTCACGAGTGTTGCGGCGAAGACGTTCCTGAATTAAACTCTCTGGACACAGAGAAATTACTGCAGGATTCTGCTCTTGAATTGGAGGTATCGTTGCATTATTAGCATTGCTTTCTTTGTCTCTTCCCCGGTCACTAAATACTATATTGTGTTTTTCTTATTTACAGAGCAGAATACAGCAGATTGTGTCCGAGTGCTCTGATGTGGGTTTCTTAGAAGATGGTGATATAGGTGAGTACTCTTTTAGTTCTTCTGAATTTCTGGTGAGACAAGTTTCTCTGCAGAATTGTATAGCGGGTATAGTATATGACTTTCAGCAGCCTTCCCATCGGGTTTCCTTCATTGAAGGAGTGGGTTTTCGCCTTTCTTGTTCTTGTTTCTGTAGCTTTTTTCCTGAGGCGGTTCAATAGATTAGAGTCCGCTAGAATTAGTAATTTGGTAATCGAGTTCAGCTGTATGGACTTCGAAAGCACTGCTGTGTTTTCTTGTGCCATCTGAGTCTGGATATTTTACTTCCGTCGTTCCATTCTCACCCTGACGCTTACGCGTGGAACCTTAGAGGGGGAATTAAGGTGAAGCAGAGAGTTACAAAATTCATGGTGAGATTTTATAAGTTGGTCGGTTTTCACACAGATGCTTACTTAGAGCATTTGAAGGAGGAACATAACAAGGTGGAAGTTGAAAGCTCCAATATAGCTAAAGAGATTGAGCGGCTTACCAAAATGCAGAAAGAAGGTGATGCCTTTGACTGTGTCTTGCATGTCTATCAGGAGATGGAACCTCCTTCCCCCCCTCTCTTTTTGTCATTCATTTACTTTTCTTGATTTTCCAGATTCACACATGTTGGAGGCTAAACTTGAAGAACTGAAATGCTCTTTAGATTATGCCACATTAAAGGTTAGTTGTCGATTGAAGGTGAATTCACTATATTTTACTCTTGTTGGTCAACTAAGAAGCTGTAAACTTAAATTGAAACCTAGTGCGGCATTTTTTTATCCTTCATTGAAATGAAATCCTCTCAATGATATGCTTTCAGGAATCAAATTTTCTGTTTGATGTTTGAAAGGAATACACTTGCAGCATCTTCTGGATAAAATATAAAATACATATTTTTGACAAGCTACACTATTCATAAGCCATGAACAGTGTAATTGATTTATCAGACTTGTTTAATGTATGGGGTTGACATCTGGTTGGCGTCTAAAAACAGATGCCAAACAGTATAAACAATCAGAAGTAATAGCTTTGCTGATTTATAAATATGCCTCTTTACAAGTGAATAATTATTTAAGCGACGTCAGAATTTAGATAGAATACCAAACATTTATATTTACACCAACGATCCAAATTACCTATAGAATGACAGCGGTTGACTGTATGGTCATAATACCAATCCTTCTGGCTTCTTTTGTTCTTACTTTGGATTTGGTGCTGATCATATAGTTTTATATTTCCATTTTCTGTTTTCAATGATTTAGATGAACTTTGTGAACCTACTTCAAGTTGTGCTTGATTGATTAAGTCATTGCGTTGTTATAGCAATTGGTGATTTTGTACAATAAACATGTCAATTTTTCCAGTCTTGGTTGAAATCTTGCCTGTGAGGCATATGAGATTTTCATTGTAGTAATCATATTTTGGCTTTGGTTCATTATATTACGAGGATCTAAAGACTGCAAGGGCAAGTGAAGGTGTTGATGCTCATATGCTAGACGATAACCAGTCAAGTTTGACCACTGCACATGAAGACGATAATTTAGAGGTCTTTTTAACTAATCATACTACTTTTCTGTTTGCTTCTTGAGGATTGTATGAGATTGTAAGATATATTGACTAAACAATCGGTGATCTGTTGTTCTGGTTCTTATTATTCTAGTGATTCTCTGTAGTTAATTAGCATTTATGACTTTCCTTTTTTTTTAATTCTTTCTAAAGAATAAATTTTTGCTTCCTCTTGGCAGCTATTAGAACTTGATAATAAGATTGATGAAATGAAGTCAAATGTCAAGTCTCTGCAGGATATTAAGCATCTGGTCAATTGGTAATTTTGTCCGCCTCCTCGTACACTTTAGATACTTGTATACATCTTGACATGCTTATCCTTGTTCCTTTGTTTAGGTTTGATATGGTGGATCAGATTGAGGATGCACTGATGGGCTTAAAAGTGCTTGCATTTGATGAGAATTGCATCAGGTTGTCATTACAAACCCACATGCCAAACATTGATGCAACTGAAGTGAACCATGAGTTATTAATCGAAGTTTTAGAAGGAACTATGAAGTTAAAGAATGTTCAGGTATCAAAACATATGTGGTTGCTTTTGTAAGTGGCTGTGTTAAACATTTGTCAAGGATTGTCGCCCCAAAAACTTGAGTTGTTTGTAAAAGCTTGGGATTGATTTTATCCATATCTTTGACATGCTCTCATGCAAAGCCTTTTGGGCTTGCTGAGCGACAAAGCATGTTGAATTTATGTTTGCTGGATGTGTGATATGGTTATACTTTTTATTTTTGTGACATTATATGATTATACTCATTCCTTAGAGTCTTGCCTTAAATTTTTGGTCTCCATTTATTTTCAATTTTAATTTATAATCCTTGTTATATAGGTTTTTCCGAATGATATATATGTGACCGACATTGTTGATACTGCAAAATCTCTCAGGTTTGCTCTGTTCTTTTTCTCAGCCTCGCTTCTGCTCCATTCCTTGCTGCCCTAACTTACATCTATGGATTCTTGGCTATCATTCTCTCAGTTCCCTATAAGATAATAAGATTATAATCAAGTCAATTCAATGCTGTATTTAAATATATGTATCAGCTGATAACGTTTGTTTTCAATTTCTTAACCAAATCAGATCTCATTATGCATAAGAGTCGTACTGGTTATTCTTTTTAAAAAAAAAAAAATCATGACCTCAAAGAAAGTTGACTACCCTAACACAAGTCTCAACTTTATGCTTTATAAAGTATAAACAAATACTTTCCTTCAGTGAAACAACTACAAACACAAACTCACACAAAAAGAAAAAGAAAAAAGAATTGGAGTGAAGGACAAAAAATGCTTTCTATTGTGTCAGATTTTGCGAAAGTTAGATCTGATTATTTTCACTGTGCTGTATTTACTGTGCAGCAATTCTTCATTGCAGTGGCTTATAAGAAAAGTGCAAGATAGAGTTATACTTAGCTCACTTAGGCGTCTTGCAGTAAAGGATGCTAACAAATTAAGGTGAGACCTTTGATGCAAGCCTAGTTTTAGTGTACTTAAAATTTGGCTCTTAATTCTTTTGATCGATTTTTAGTATACAATGACCTTATGATTTGAAACGTACTTCATTTTATGTTCGACTACAGATATTCGCTTGAATACTTGGATAGAGATGAAATTATAGTGGCTCATGTCGCTGGAGGAATTGATGCATTCATAAAGGTATCTCAAAATTGGCCGCTGTATGGTCCTCCATTGAAGCTTATATCTCTCACGGGATCAGATAATCTGAAGGAAATTTCTCTAAGTTTTCTCTGCAAAGTTGAGGTCAGCGATATCATTTCCTTTCTCCCTCCTTTTAATGATTTCCTTGAAATTTTTGTTCTTGCTTTTGGTTGTAAAAGGGTATTCTTAGTGTGCTGAGTTTTGATCTCAGAGAATTCCTGTTTTCTATTCTGTTAGACCTACTGAAATCAGAGTAGCTAATACCACTATGTCGTTTTCATGCCTTCTGATAGCCAGAAACGCTTCAAAATCTGCCCATAATTATTGTGTCCGTGTTGCTCATCGTTTTTTTTTTTTTTGTTTCCGGTCTCATGTAATGTTTTTGTTTATTTTTATTTAGACAATTTAACACCCCCTTCTCCCATAGAGGAGGGGACCCACACACCCATCACACACTCACCCACCTCTATTCTAGCAACATGGGGTATGAAAACCACAATCTCCTCTATGGGAGGTGTGGGGTGCCATGTGAGTTATAAGCTCTTGGCATGGTATGATTTATTTAACTACTCCTTGTTAATTGCATTCAAATACTTGATAGGTGGTCTTTCCTCTAGATGACATCTCTGAATCTTCTTTGTCACGCCTTCTAGTGCTATTCTGACTGCTGATCATAATCTTGTCGACTGGAAATGGTCAAGATTACTGACTTTTTCTCTCTTTTACTTCTCGTGTTTTCTTTTGGCGTGGGGCTTTTGACTCTTTAGAAGTTAGCCAATTCATCAGATTCTCATATTCGGCAAAATATACCAAGCTTCGTGGATGCCATTGAAAAGATACTGATAGAACAGATGCAGTCAGACCTTCATGCCGAAGATAGTTCGGCCCATTGATATTTGTGATACTTTCAGATTGTACATGCCTCTAGAGTCTATTTGCTTTTGGTCTGTTGAATCACCAATCGTTCGTTCATATTCTTGAAATCTTTCCTTTTGCTCAAGCATACTTCCGTAAGTGTATTAGCCAATATTCATAACAATTTGAACCGGCACACCTGATGATTGAACGATTCATCAATTAACGGCCAAGCATGGAAAAGAGTTCATTCAAATTAATAATATATAAATTTATGAATTTAATTAATTCATAAATAATTACGATGCTTGTGTTCTATTTATCGGGCTGTGAAGATGATCATTCGGGAGTAACATTTTGGACTTGTAAATAGTATTTTAATTGTGATTTATAGAATATAAAATATGAAATAAATATGTGAAAAGAGATATTTGTGTTCTATTTATCGGGCTGTGAAGATGATCATTTGGGAGTAACATTTTGGACTTATAAATAGTATTTTAATTGTGACTTATAAAATATAAAATATGAAATAAATATATGAAAAGAGTTTTATCTCAAATTATATGAAATGTGATTTTAAATTGGGTTTTTATTGCCACCTAAAATGTTGTTTTTGATTTTAAAAAAAATCTCTTTGGTACTAAAATTGCAATCAATTGAATTAAAATACTTATTTATTAACGATAGACTCTTCTTAATTATCATCTTTAATTTGTTTCATAATGTTTCACAAGTTCGCTGTCATCTCAATTAAAAAAAATTTATAATAAAATTACAGAAACAGGTAAATTGTACTCCACAAATTAAAATCTTTCAGTGAGAATTCGTAATTGCAGTACAAAATTTCAAGTTATACATCATCCCTTTACATATTTCACTCGCAGCTTACAGAATTGATTGACAAATTTGTAATGAAAATTAGACTGTAAGAAATAACATTATTCAGCTTCTGAAGAAGCATTTCTGAAAATAAACAAATACTACCTCCGGTCCTTAATATAAGACCCCGTTTGACTTTTTGTTTGGTCCTAATTATAAGACCCCAATCCATTTTATCTCTTATATTTGTGCATTCTTTTCCAAGATAATCCTTCTAATAATCATAGTTCTAGCCAATACACTTAATTAGCAAGGATATTTTAGGAATGACAACACTTATTTATTACAAATAACTAACTTAACTTACTTCCTTAATCTCTCCAAATAAGTCAACTGGGTCTTATAATTAGGACCGGAGGTAGTATAATTTAACGAAACAGAAGAATTGTGAGGATGCTGCTGTACGTGGCAAACACAAGCTTTTTTTTTTTTTTTTGGTTAAAAAACACTTTTTTAGGTACGGGTATCTTTTGATCGGAAATAATCTCACATTTTAGAGAGTTGTACCAGGGTTGTGCAAAAACCCGATAGTCTAACCCAAGCAAACGTGATCCAGTTTAGTTCAGAAAAAATTGGCTCGAAATAACATTGGACCAGACTAAACCGGATTGGTCTCATTTGGTTAGATTGGACTAGGGACTAGCGCCTCAGACCAGTTAGTCCAGTCCAGTCTAGCCCGGTTTTTTTTTAATTATTATTTATATAATTTTAATTTGATTTAATTTTTCTATATAAGTTTTTTGTCTATTCAAATAATCAAGATTTATCTATTAACTTTCTAAGTAAGAGCATGCGTATATATTTTCTACAATATAAGATTTATATTAATGAGGATTAATTAATAAAACATGACATTATTGGGAAATTGAAAGGGAATGATCAAATTTGATGAACTTTGAATTGAAATATTTGCAAAATTTTATATAGTAAGTTACAATCTTGCATCCTATTGAAGAAAAAAAAAAATTTTTAAAATAAATTTAGGTTCTGGACTGCCTGGACTGGTCTAAGCAGTCCAGAGGACCAAATCCAGTCCAATTCGACCTCAGGTTGGTACTAGACTGGACCAGACCTCAGACTGTCTTTTTCAGCCTGAGATCTTTACTAGACCAGACTTTGAGTTGATAACAAACTGTATCCAGTCTAGTCCATACCCACCCCTAAGCTATACTATGAAGCACGAATGTCTCTATAGTGAGCCCAGGCCCAAATCCGAACAGGACACCCCAATCAAGCCCCTCACCCGTAGTTTTAAGCCCATCTTCAGCGGCTTCTTCCTCATGTCATCTCGTCTAAGATTAACAACACGCAAGCACTGGACATGTTCCCGTACTCAGTAAGAATATGTTGGGTGGCCCGCATGGTCCAAGATGGCCGGGCCACCTGCATGCGCGATCCAAAGGAGTTGTAATCAAAATTCCCAATGGCCTGAATGCTTCCCCTAAGGCCTTCTCAATGTTCTTTTTCATTTTTTTTGTTACTGAAGGAGGGCTACCAGATTCAAAATGTCTTGAGTTAATTCCACTACAATCATTGTTCACCAGTGATCTCAAATGCTCTGGGCAAGCATCAAAGAGAGGGTGGAACGTAAGCCCAACGTCCCCAACAAGCCCATCAATAGTCCCTTCACTGTCAGCAACTATGGTTTGGGCCGTCTATATTATCTCAAATATGGGCTTCTCAACTCGTGGAATCGGGTCGGAGCCCACAATGACCGCTGCCGCTCCATCACCAAACAAAGATCGGCCCACAAGGCCTTCAGGATGGTTATCACTGGGCCAACGAAACGCGACGGCAGAGCACCCGGGCTCCTTGGTAATCCTCAGCCAAGTCTTTGGCCCACCAGAGCACCGTGCCGCCGGTGAAGCAGCCTTGCTGGTACATCATGTATCGCTCCACGGGCGGGCAAAGGCCCAAGAGCTTGGCAAGCTGATAATCAGCTCCGGGCATGTTGACACCATGGGCGCATAAGAGTGAGTGAGTAATTTTGGATCTGGGTTGACCCCCATTCTTTAATGGCCTTGGTTGCCGCCTCTTTTTCCAGCCTTGGGACCTCCAGAACCACAATGTCTTGTCTAGCATCAATTGAGGGCACAATGTAAGCACACATGTTAGGGGTTACACAACTTGGCCCTAGTTTGAAGGAGATTTTAGGTTTTCCTGCACACAACGGATTTTACAAAATCCGTTCTTGGATCTGCAGGTGCGTTATGGTTGTTGCGTAATAAAGAGTTTGAACAGAAGCATTTTAAAAGACCGAACAAAATGACGTTTACGCTCATGATTTCAGGCTCAGTACAGATAAAAAAGCAAAAAAGAAAGAAAACAGAGAACTAAATGCCTTCTTTTATATATAGAACAGAGGTAGTTACATAAAAATATAAGTAAAAATGACTAGAAAACCATTACAAGTTACAAGATACACTAGATGTGTACAGTCTCACCTAATGGAAGAATATACTCGATAATGCATTCGGCAAATCTGTGCCCTTTCGGCTACTTCTCGTAACCATAACACAAGACCCTAGATAGCCAAGTGTAGCCGCAAGCAACAAAGGAGATGCATTATCCATCAACAATGAATTGATCTTCTTGATTATCTCCCTCAACCCTAGTGTCACCGTGAACTACACCATTTACATGATGCAAATTTTGCATCATCTGTGAAAGATAATGGTTGCTAGCACTAGTATGATCAGATAAACCAGCAGGTTGGGCAGTCCAGTGTGAGAAGATACCAAGCAATTGGCTAGTAAGATTTTGTTGTTCATGAAGTATGCGTGTTTGCATCTGGCCCATTTCGGCACGGTGCTGATTTAAAATATCATCAATCCTCTTCTTCCATTCTAACCTTTTGTTATTCATTCTTTCCTCCCAGTCCCTTTCATATATTAACTCTGCTTCTCTTCTTTTTCTTTCTATCACTTCATTCTCCTTCTCTATAGCTTCCCACTCAGACATTCTCTGCCTCCTCAAATTCTCCCTTTCTTTTTCCCTCTCCTCCCTCTCCTTTTCTCTTTCTTCCAGTCTCTTTTCCCATTGCTTCTCAAGCTCAATTCGAAAGTTTTCCCTCCTCTGCCTCTCCCGCTCTCTGTCTATCTCTTGTCGCTCAAACCGAGCCTCCATTTCTCTCAATTGACCAAGTTGGCTTGCAAGCATCCTCCATGCCTTCTTTTCCAACCCCTTCACCACCTTTCTCTTCTTCTTTAAGCTGGACCCAGTCAATTCCACTTCTTCATACACATAACCATTGTCTGCATCTTCCCTCAATCGATCACTTCCGTTATAATTCACTTCCCCTTCTTCAGCATCATAATCAAAACCCAAATTCATTACCTCATTCTCAACCCCATCAATCCCAGCCGTGAAGTCCCCTTCCCCTGAATGACCTATTTGGCCAAACTCAATGATATCCATCGTCCCGCTGTGCCCCAGAAACCCAGCTCCATTTTCACGATCCCCATTTGCCAAAGTCATTAACTCATTGTTATTACTATGACCAAGAGCCACATCACCGAAAACCTCCTTATACCTGAGAAAATTAGACCAATGGGTAAGACCCTCAACCCAATCAAACTCATTCCCATTGGAATCCCCACCAGAGTTTTCCATTGACGAAAACTCAGGCTTCTTAATTTTTTGCTTGACAAGTAAATACTGGTGCCTCATGTTCTGGACCTTAGTGGACACATCCTTCCAAGTCCACTGCCAGGGATAGGCAACGGGATCGCGAAGATGGTGAACCGAATTGACATAACAAGCAATGGGTTTGAACTTTTTCTCACGGGTTTTCATCTTGGCGAGTGTTCCGTCAGCAACCATGTCGCCATACTTATCAATTAGGGTTTTTTCCTCAGCCTCGGTCCATTTCTTTCTTCTTGGAGGCACCATCGGGAACCGACCGTCCGACCCCAGGATCCTCCTCGAAGACAACAGGCTTATCGGATATAGAATTTTATAGCATAATAGAAATGAAACCACCACAATTCAATACGACCAACAACGAGAGCAGCAAATGGATGGCACTTACCTTCTGTGATGGTGAATAAATCACAAGAAGCTCAAGTGACGCTTGCAGCAAGAAGAAGGAGCAGCGGAAGTGCTGAAGAGTGACTTTCTCGAGGAAACGGGGGGAGATATGGGAGGGATTGATGCAGGTTCGAGCAGGAATCGGGAGGGCGATATTTCCACAGAACCATCTAATTTAATATAATAAAAGTAATTTGGGTGGTTTGCTGCGTTGTCGGAGTTGTTGATTGTTCGTGG